CCGCCAGTAGCCGCACAATGACAGATAAACATTGTCAGCAACTTACGTTTCTTTTATCTGTACCGTCATCCGATTATGGTGCCATTTTCATAGTTCATTTATTCACAGAGGACTTACGAATTTCAGTATGATTTCAGGCATACATTTGAGATCGTTGGACTTGGAGTAACTTATGATATTTCATAGCGTCTCTGAAAATTCTTGTGGCCAATAAATTGGACTCCAGCTGCAAAAAATATAAGTATTGTATTTGCCCCATTACAATAGGAAGATAAGCTCGGCACACTGAAAACCGCATGCGAGACTACTTACTTTGGGCTAAACAAAGTCACATTCACCAACTGTACGTTGCTTTGAAGTTTTCTCCCTTTCCGGCTCCCAAACTAACTGGCAGCCACAGAAAGTTGCCACCTATGCATTTATTTAAACAGCGGTACCATCGAATTCTCTCTGGAAGTTCCCAATGCTTAGCATCAAACTTGATCAAATCTTCATATTAAACTCGATGCTGCTCAGATTACTGCTACCATATAGAACCTGATTCCAGGTTCGTCATAGCATACCTTTCTCCAAATCTAACTATCTACCTACTAAGAACATAAAAGTGATCAGTGGTACTAGTACTAGTCGCACTTTTCCGCCATCGGCTACATGCATGGTAAGAGTTTCCAAGGCATAATGGGCGTTCAGTTGAGCACCATCTTGCCGAAGTGGCTGTATCGTGCATTGATTGTCTTCTAGCTTACGCGCAGTTCAGTAGCAAACCGACTGGGATCGTGAGGCCGACAGGAGAACGATTGAACAAAAGCATGCGGGTGAGGTTTTCACGCCTAAGTACCCAAAGCTTGGAAAGCGAATGCAATATAATCGCGGACTGCCATGATCTCTCCGAATGCTACAGACCATTAATGACAAAACAGGAGCTTGCGCTCACCCATTTCTCATATTGGCCGTTACCTATTTCAGAACAGCAAACCCACGTATCTGTTAGAATGAGTGTTTGCGGTGGTAAAAACCTACAGTTCCACTGCTTATCGCAACCTTCGGTCTTCTAGCCTGCAACCTGAACACGAAAACAAGATCACAACTTTCTTGGTCCTGGGTATTCCTCCCCCTCATAATTATGTCTTCAGTTGCGATCCGGATGTCGGTTAAGCGATCAATTCGGCAGCTCCTCTCCAAATGCCCCAGAATTAATTACTATAAGTTAAAAGCAGACGCCTTTCAGCAGGACCACTTTAATCATACCCAAAATCGAGATTTCTAAATATTCTCAGGGGCCCCACTCCCAGGCTCGGAACAAGGCCCTCCGGGCCTAAAATTTTACATTCATTTATTTAATATACGCTGCATTTGAGAATCCTTGATAATTCTAAAGTCCCATTGGCCTTGCCTTCACATGCCACCCCCCCAATGTCATTTCTAAAATTGACGTACTTACATCGATGTTAGGGCACTGGACAACGTAAGTGGTCCAGGGAAGCAAATTTGACTTCCTCCTTGGAGACTCCGTCGGCGTTTTTTGATGCAGTAACTCCGCCTACATCGCCTTAATCCGGGTAAATCATCAATTTCCACTGCACCAAGTGGTGCGAAAGAGAAGAATCTAACCAGATATTTAATAAATTCTGGAGTCTGCGATCTCTGCAGCCTACTGCAGAACTTCCAACTATTCGGAAGCGGAGTACTACAAGTGTTCCTCTCTGTATTGACCTAGGCAATAACACGTAGGATGATAGGGAAACGCAAGGTGCGCCATATTTCGTGGGTTGATCTATATCCGAAACGTGGCATCATAGCTCACTATGGTTCAGTATATTCAGGGTAATAGAGTGATTCTATTCGAAGATCCTAGTAAAAAGCACGAAAATAGTCAAGGTCGAAGATGTAAAATAAATATTTCAATATGTGTTGCTAATACAAAAAGAGTAAGATATATAAATTTACACATTTTACAGCAGTGGAATTTGCGATAGTCATCCTAACGGTCGGCGATACAATGGCCGACTAACAGATATTAAACTGACCTGTAAGTGTGAGTTAAATATTGATATATCCTAACAGTGCTTTCCTGTGCATATGACGGTAAATATACACCAAAATGATGTTTAAAGGCCTCTGTCGTATTTGCCATTACAACATTCTTGGGCAGCCTATTCCAGGCACAGAAGACTCGCTGGGAAAACGAATGGCTGCGAACACTCAAATTGTATAAGGTTCCCCGAAGTTCGAGGGGCTTCTGGTTCAGGTAACTTTATGTGGTCAATTCGAAGAAGTCATCACACTACAGGGCACACTCCCGATTGCTCACGAGCCTGTACTTATGCACATATGTGATCGTCACGGATCTTACTGTACTTAAGAGGAAAAAAGCTAAGTGGTTCACGTCCAAATTTGTAAGATAAGAACCTTAGGACCTTCAAAAACTTTCTTGCTCGCCTTTCGATCCTATCAAGTAGCTTGTAATCTTTTTACAACCAAGGGTAGCACGCGTGAACTCCATATGCTGAACTCCATATGTGAACATATAAACCTCCCATATATTTTCTCATAAAGCCTTCTTCCCTTAATAAAGTGACTTAAAGTTCCTTATCGATATCGACAGAAGTTCGCTTGTTAGCAGTTCTCGGCCCTACGTGTTTTCGAGGTGCTAAAGTAGCAAAATATTTTCATCTAAGAGCAGGACCCAGAAAACATCAATCATTTCAGAAACCTTTGAGTTAAAATTCGGCAGCCAATTTAGAAGAAAACTCAGATTACTTGATTTGTTTCCTCGACACACAAGTTACACTGAGCGGTCTGCCTATATTCGCATCCGTTTGATCATTCAATGTAGTGATAAGGTTCGATAATAATTACTACATATTAACGTGGACGAGAATACAAGGCTTCGTAAGGCTGGTTAAATTTTGCATTCATTCCGAATTTCAGAATCAATCTATATCATTTTACTACGCTCCAATGTAGGCGGACTAAAAGAACTAGTTTGCAGTTTCGGTTTTTGGTGTTTGTGTGGTGTTCAATCAAATTGGTCGAGTTAAGACGGAAAACTTATTTTTTACGTTGTCTGCGTGTGATCGCTGTTGTTTTGTTTGTTGGTCAACTGTGTGCTGTGGACACGTGGTGCGCTACCTGGCCGCAGCATACATCCCATCACACATGTGTGATGGGATGTTTGAAACACAGACCGAGGTTGTGTTAGCTGTCTTTCAGCCGCCGCTTCCACTGGGCGTTGGTGGTTTGCATAGGTGCAGACTCAGGCACCGGCTACCTGTAGACTTTATTGCACTCCTACTACGTAGGATCTGATTCAGATGCAATAAACGCTTACTATTACTTAGATCTAGTTCACGCGTAATTCACCGTCTCTACACTACAATGGTGTAGAGTATACAACTGACATAGTCAGAACCTACGGTTGAAAGGTTATGTATTCGCTGAGGTCCTATGTTTTAAGATATAATCGAATTTATCATAATTATTAAGCCCCCAACTGGTGCCTCATTAAAACCTAAGGAATTTTTAACCTAAGATTAAGTCAACTACTTCATTAAATCAACCTTGCATATATCTTTTTTTAGTAACCAATGTGCTCGCCTTACGTTCAATTCTGCAACCTGGTAGCATACCCACAGCAACTTCTGTCATTGCAGTGATGAGCCAGAGTCGGTACCCTCTAGTTGACTGAGAACACAGCCCCTGCTCGAATATGCCGTGTACAGATTAAAGTCGTTGACACGATTCTTACTGTTTCACAGTCAAAGCACATTTTAAGCTACTAAAAAAAAACTATTCAGCAAATTTGATCACGGTCCAGGTTAGGTACTCAAACTAGGCCCCAGCTAAAATTTTGCTATTACTTATACACGTGTGTAAAAACATATTTAGTCCTCCCTACCCTTCCAGCGCTGTGCGGCATTTTATGCTGTCCACCGACGCTTCATACTAACCGCGGACTTTGTGATACAGACTCTACTATTTCCCTTACTCTTTCAAATAACAGCAGTACTGATTAACACCAAGATCCCACCCTTTCGTAGCGTTTTCCAAATGTTTTTCATCCTTACCCATTTCTAGACACTTAATTGCAGTTAGTTTGCACTGCTTAAGGATAATTTGGAAATAGGAATAAGAGAAAATGGTGTATCTGTAGCAATAAATGAAGCTTCTATGTACTAAAAAATAAGGTGGTTACCAGAGTAACTTATGATAACCTAGCCCATTATGTGTCATGTCAGAGAGGCTTTGCAAGACGTTCTTCGATTTCGATCGTCGAAATCAGAACCAAATTATACACGCGGAATATGTTTTAAATGCTAGTTATCGACGCCCTTGGTGAAACTGCTTACTGGGCCGTATTTTTGTTAAGACAGGAGTTACGCATGTTCTTTCCAGACTTGAATAAACTACCTAAGTGATGCGGTCCTTCCAACTCTTAGAAGCATAATTCTGCAACCGAAAAGGGTTGGACAGACATGGACAGATATAAACTTTAGCTAGTTATTTTTCATGACGTTTGATGCTTTTGCCACATACCTTCTAATAAGCTTGTCTAGTTCTGTCCTTTCTAGTCTTCCAGTTATTAGATTGATGCGGTTATCGTTAGCCTTCTATAGCATAGACAGAGGGCTTATCATTTGATTAAGAGCTTTCAGAGCTCCTTATAATATTACAGCTACATGGAGGCTGCCGCAACTCTCATCCCCCAGGCATAACTTCAAATTTCTTGAAAGTGTGCTGGGCACAACCCGATGATTGCTTTAACTAACGAACTAACTGGCGTGCTTTCCCAATGGCTTAGGTTAACAGGAAAGGGCTAGCAGTGTCAGTCAGTGCACAGTTCATTCTCACTAACCATTTACCAGTCCAAATTTTTCGATACTGTCTATGACCCTATTAATTAATCAAATAGACAAATTCAGTGAAGCTTATTGTTTAACTCTTTTGCATATTTGAGAGTGCCATAATCATTAATATTCGTTTTTTTTAGCTGGAACTCAATGGCCATATCAAATGTTGGTTTGGACCTGATAAGAAGCTTGAAAAGATCAACAGTGCATTGTCTCCCACCCTACGAAGAGGAGAAAGTTAGGCGATGCATAGACGAAATGAAGCTCCTTTACGAAGCCAATCGTCAAGATGTTGTCGCACTTCGTCCCTCCCAGTCGTCTTCATCGTGTGAAGAAAATAACGAGAACTTGATCCAAACTGTTCTTATACGCCATGCCGTTATGGAAAGAATAAAGCGGTGCCTACTAGCATATCATCACGCCCGTCTCATGAGGATAAAAGAACTGCGTTGGCAATACAATGCTGTGATTCCCAAAGGTAAACAACTAGTTTTCTTTATTTCCTTCAGATAACGCTACCTTAATGCACTTCTGAAATTTGCGTCTCCTAATTTCAATATGTACACTTGCGTCTGGCACTTGGAAGAGTTTGTTTAGCGTCTTATATGATAAAGCCATTTTTACCTCCCCCACCAACCTTCTAACGTGGTCAGTTCTTGTTGTTAGGGCTGACGTAGGCCAGCTATTTTCTACAATGACGACCGACATTATTCGATTTTAACTTCGTACTAGTTTTGCACTTCGTCCGTCAGAGCTAGCTCTCTCTTATGAACAGCTCCCAGTCTATTGGCGGACTATAACAGGTTCCATTATTTGTACAAGTTTCCTGTCAGTACTTTTATTACTGACAATATACTTTAAAAAACCAAAGTAAGAGGGCACGTTTTTTGACTTCACTTGCTTATGCATATCTAGTCACTGCAGATGGGGTTCGTACACCACTAACAACATATGCGCTTGCCGAATGTATAGTAAAATGTTTAGGTATCGTTTTAACTGGGAAACCTAAAGGAAGTGCGTGTGTTGGCCTTTTATTTCTTCCACTTGAACAACTATGGTCTTTCTTGCCCCTAATATGACCAACAGAAAGCTTTTATGAAACGGCTCTATGGCATTGTTCGTAGGTTACGAAGATTCCATTATTTCAGCATTAAGAGGTTCCTTAAACTTGACGCTGAATTTTGTTCTAGACTAGAATCTATAATGGAGTTCATAATACACTTTTCTATCGTTGCCTTTTGTCAAAACGCCATTTAATCAATGTTCGCACTGCTCTTCCTTCAGAAATTCGTCGGAACTTTTCACCCGAAGAGCTCAAATGGTTCACTAACTACTGTTCAAGTCTGGCTACCTTCATGCAGGCTGATGCCAGTGAACGTGGTGGAGCCGGAGGCATGGACCTGACTCAATCCCTGAAACCACCCAAGTCTTTGGTTATGGAGGTTCGCTGTCTTAAAGATTATGGCGAATTCGAGACTGAGGATGGATGCCTCCTTAATCTAACGAAGGGCAGCCAACACTTAATGTTTCGCAGTGATTGTGAAAATCTTGTTCGACAGGGCATTCTTCAGCATATTGATGACTGAACACACTTTATACAAAAATGTTGGAGCGCATTTGAAAGTATTTTGCGGTTTAAGTGCATTTTGTTTAAACATTTCCGTTGTTTTTTTCCCGTGCCCATTATTTTTGTACGACCAATTTTTATTCAGAAATTTGTACAGCATCGTTTTTCACCAATGGAATACATATATCATTTTTTTAAGAGAATGTTTTAATTCAAAGAAGAGAAACACAAAAGCGGCCCACAACAAAAAGCACGATGTAGTTGCACGCAATACTACGACTATTAGACGTTGCTGGTCGGACGGATTTTGTGGCACCCTTTTGGCTCACGCTCTTCGCCTGATCACTATCCCAATATTTGGCTTTTGTATTGATTCAAAGCGGACTTATCATGCCCAAGCAGTTTTGCGTTGGCCTATCCTTACGGGCCCGACGATCTTAAATTATGACAGAGCAGTGTCCACTACCTCGGTTGATTCGATTTTAGTGCTATTTCGCGTGGTATTTCGTCACATTCACAGAGGTCGTCGTCCATTACTGATTACAGAGCTGGACTTCTAGAACTAGTGCCCAGTAATGGAGTCTAGCACCAAGTTTCGTTGTCTTCCCGGGCACTAGGCTGATCGTAACGCAGAAGGAGAACCTGCGACCCTAGACTTTTCTAACATGTTTATTCCTCGGAAGGCTTAGAACTCCCATTCGAATTGACAAGTTCTACCTTTCGTCCCACTACACTTTCTCGAACAGGAAGTACGAAACGTGCAGCTTGACAAAAGCATTATTTATTTCTGTGTTCGAGCTGTCCTTCAACGGCCTATGTTGGTGGCTTGGGTCGCAGTTGTCGTTTTGGAATGTATTGGGTACCTGGTTGGAGCAAACTTTGTCGTTCTCGCTAACCTGCTTTGACTTATCCAAAGTTTGTGATATACTTGCTACTTACATTCATAAAGTAAGCAACTAATACTAGAAGCTTCTATGTGCTCACATTGCGCAGCAGCAGCATGCCGCTTCGCTTTTATGGCCTATAGGAAGAGCTACCTTCTAAGTATAATATTATTTAGGAGTGTGTCTGGAAAGCCACTGCCACCTTTAAAACGAGAGCTTAACATTCTTTTAGAAATATATGATAGGAACGAGTGCACTACAACGGATGACTTTATTACTGGGAGATCGGCTTAACTGCATCGACCAAAACTCCCACTTAATAATTCGAAATGTTTAGTTAAAAGAAAACACAAGCCAAGTTTTTGAATTAATAGTACGTCGGCTAAGAATACCTCATTTCTTAAAAAGGGGGAAATTCCAAAAGCTTAATTACTCATGTCAGATGGGCATACTAAGTAAGCATAGATGTGTATAGTGCGTGTCTACGCAATCTAGTAAATAAAACAGCATGTAAAGGCCTGACGAGAATTTATCGAAAACAGACGTTTGTTCGCCGATTTATATTCTGAAAACAGCATGAGTACGAGAAAATTTAACGAAAATTAGTAGATGATCCTGAAGGTAAATATTCTCTAAAAATGAGTGTACAATTAAAGTATGCTTCCGAGCTAATGGCTACCCAAACTCGTTTGTCAAACGAGGCAGACGCCGCGTAAACAGACGACGGCCAGTACAAAAGCAGCCCGAAGTCTGGAGGGCCATTTCTTACATAAAATGCGTCTCCGAAGCAGTCTCACAACTGTTACAGCCTGCTGACGTAGGCATAACCCATCGACCTCAAGCGACCATATGCCGCCAGGTGATGCAACCTAAAGACCGACTGCCTCCTA